GGCTACTGTACATCTAGTGATACTAAATTTTCGAAAAAAAATGGAGTGCTCTCTTAAATTGTTCCAGAGCTGTATATAAGATTATTAAAATGCTCACATGTAGATACAACCTCGGCCTACTGTTCTATACACCACAGCCTCCAAAACAAGAGGGCAATTTAATCACACTGTTACAGTATGTTAATTAAGTTTATTTGTTATACAATTACCCTTCTATTTTCTCCTACTGGTATTACTCATAAAAGTACTGAAAGATGGAGATCACATTACAAAAGTTTTGCATGATATGTAAAAAACATACGGGTGTTAACCAACCCAAATGAACACTTATAAACCGTGCACGGGCTTTTGCACAAGCCATAAAACAGCAATATGTGACAACCTCTGTCAATGAAAAAATAAAGAATTGTAAAAAAAAATAAAAAATGCTCACATGTAGATACAAGGTGAATAGAATGTGATTACGCTACATAGAACTCTGGCTGCCTACTGTAAATTCTGTGCAAATCCAGTGCGCACTCCACGCTGACAACAGACTTTATCTGATTCTCCGCTTTCAGGTAGACCTTGCAAGGGGTGTCTTGTGTCTCCCCTTGCTCCCCGCCTGCAGCCTCCCACTTTCTGATCCCCTCCATTCAATTGTTTTGGACTTTGTCTCTCCCTCCTCCCTCTTTCCCTCCTCTTGCTGACTCAAAGTGTGCATGTGCTCTGATCTGGCTAAATGGTCCTATCATAGTCTTCTTTATGAGAAGTCTCAAGAAGAATTTCAAAACATTTTTTTTTTTATATAAGGAATGGAGTAACCCTGTAAAGGTGATTCAGCACTTTTCTGGAAAAAATTACCTTAAAACATTAAAGGGATCCTATAGTGCCAGGAAAACAAACCTGTTTTCTTGGCACTATAGGCTCTTGGAGTACATGTGCGGTGGCACTGAGGGGCATTACACAGTGCGTGGGGCATTTAGAGTCCCACTACAGAATCATTCATCTTTGGTATCGCACCCCGTCTAGATTACAAAAATTAAAATTAACTAATTTGGATAAATGTGGGAGTGGGTGTGGACAAGTGGGCTCATTGTGTCCCATACTGTGGATGTGTTCCAAGGTGGGCTCACATTGGAAATCAGACCACAAATTAATATATACAATGATTAATCCCCCGGTTGACCCCCCAAATTTGCCTATTTAAAAGAATTACAAATAACCTTCCAAAACAATAAAAAATAATGTTAGGTCATATTTTTATTGCAGCAACTACAACCATAACTAGATATTGGAAAATTAGTGACTTGCCAGATGTTAATGAGATTTTAAACTCCATTCTACATAATAAACATCACAAATTAACCTACTGCACAAATTCAAAAAATAATATTATATTAAGAAAGGAATGGAATGAATGGGGAAAAAATGTTCGAAGCAAATACAATTTAGTAATATGATAACCATTTAACCAAACTATGTAAATACATACTGCTAGTATTGCAACCACGTTCTGTCATTTTGTAAATAGGATATATTAAAGGAACACTATAGTCACCTGAACAATTACAGCTTAATGTAGTTGTTCAAGTGAGATCTATAGCTCCCTGCAGGCAATCTAATGTAAACACTGTATTTTCAGAGAAAATACAGTGTTTACATTGATTGATAGGAATACCTCCAGTGGCCGTCACTCAGACGGCCACCAGAGGGACTTCCTATCATGTATGGCCCTAAAAAGGCCATGTACACGTCAGACGTATTAAAATACGTCTGGCGTGTGCAGGAGAGAGAAGGCACTGTGTACGTGCCTTCTCTCTCCTGCCTGTCAGCAGAGGAGAGGGGGCGGGCAAAGACAGCGAGCTGAGCATGCGCGGTAGTGCGCTCAGGACTTCAAATAGCGGCATGAATGCTGCCCTATGAAATATGTGCGCATGTGCGTCGAAGCCGCGCATGCTCACAAGGGAGCAATGGAAGCGTCTGATTGGTCCCTGCTCGCCCCCGCCTATTTCATAATTTCGACGAAATAGGGGGCGCGGCTTTACGAGGCTCCCGGCGCTGGAACCAGGTGAGTAAAAAGGGCTGCCTGGAGTGTCCCTTTAAATAATTAAAACATTTATTTTTTAAGGACGATTTTACATATTTTTACAAAATTATTTATTGTTTAGTTTTTAAAAAAAATATTTTCACCCCAATTTTTTTTATTTTATTTCTTTTTAAATTTGTTATAATTTGTTTTTTTTCATTATATTGTTGGTAACTTTGTAGACTCGTTGTTAAAACTCATGTATTATCAATGTGTATTGTCGATACGTTTATTGTTATTACATTATATGTATATATATTTGAAAGACTCAATAAAAGATATTTGAAACAAAATTAGACAATGCTGTCTTAATGATTAAATGCAGGGGCATTACTAGCTTCCAGAAAAACCTACGCCTTGAGCCCAAAGTAAAATTCAATGACGCCAACCCAAACACTGCTCTACTGAAGCCTTATTCCTTCCTCTCTACCTGGCCAACTATGCAAGCTTAATTATAAATTGAAGATGGGGGAAATAGCCAGAACTTGCTGCACTGCCAGGTATCCAATGCAATCCTGCCTAGCCACACTAAGGCAAATGAGAAGGGGTACAGAAAAGCCTCCTTGGGCAGCACTCCATTCCTGATGGTCAACTACAAGAGGACCACTCCTCCCCCTGGATGCACCATATATTAGCAATATACCAGTGATTGATTGCTGTTTGAGAATCAGTTGCCTCATGTAAAAATAGAAAAAAAAACACTAGTATCCTGCTGCCCCTTTGATACCTATAGAAATCAGGGATTAAGAATGCCACATGTGGGGCTTTAGCACCCAAAGCTCACCCATCAACACCACTGGATAAAAAAAAAAGTATTACAATTATTTAATGCTGTTTGTGTACGACATCAGTCAAAACTGAAAACATGTCTGGATGCTTGAAATTTTTCTCTCTTCCACATCTGTCCTAAAATGTATTTCTTCTTATTTTTAATTTTTTTTAATGCTTATCTATGTGTTAATTTTTTTTTCTATTATTTTTTATTTTATTTTACAAAAGTATTAGCGACATAACATACATCAAAACATCAATAATTTGCATTAGCTCATATTTGGTACAATAATGATTACATATTAGTAGAATGATAGAAAGGGAAAAAAAAAGACAAAAACAAGTACAAATACGAGTTCAAGTAGCTCCGAGACAGAGAACAAAACGCAAGTGCATCTACAAGGAAAGTGACACAGAGTGGATAAAGTGGGGGGGAGGCTTCTCCTCTTCCCTCCTTCCTTCTCACCCCCTTTCTTTTCTTTTCCTTTTTTACATGTATTTTTTATTTTATATGCCACTATCAATGAGCATGTTATTGGCTGTGCAGACCACTGTCTTCTATTGAAATAGCATGAAATAAGAAAAAGGTGTCCAATGTCGGAAAACTACCAACAGATCATTGCCATACATCCGTGCTATCAAATACTGTCAGCTGACTACAAAGCTCAAATATAAGAAGTATTAGATAAGAACTGTGAGCTAGCGTGCACATCTCCCAAACTTTCAACAGGCAACCGAAAGATAGAAAAAACACAGCAAGTCCCCGGTGAAGATTTGTGCTTGGAATTGCAGCCCTTTTTGCAGCTAGAATACTCATATATTAACTAATAACACCAATTAAAGTTATGCCTGACAGCATGTTATAACGTAGAGATAATTATTGCGTGTTTGCAGAACCTTAATTAATGTAAAACACAGCGTTAGCTATTGTGGTGTAGTATTTCTGTAGGTGTCAGTTTTCTCTTTTGCATCATTATAATCTGAAACAAGTAATTAGAGAGGATATCTTTACAAATCTCATCCCTCAGTTTTCTCACTAAAGAAATATGTCTGCATGCTTACACCAGGTATACCAAAAAATAAGTGACAACGCAATATAGATACAATTATAGTTTGTTTGTGTCTATTAGTGAGAGTGTATGCGTGTCTGTTAGTGAATGTGTGTGTCTGCTAGGGACTGTATGTGTCTGTTAGTGAGTGTGTCTGTTAGTGAGTGTGTGTGTATGTCTGTTAGCTAGTGTATGTGTATTTGTCAGTGAATGTGTGTGTCTGACACTGAGTGTATATGTGTCTGTCAGTGTGTGTGTATGTGTATTTAGAGGGGGGTGCCTGAGTTTTGTCATGCCTAGGGCAGCACAAAACCAGAAAACACCACTGAGCACAGCACCAGTCTCACTGCAGTTGGCCACGACCCGCTCTGCCTCTGTGATTAAGATCTTCAAATTCGACAATCTCAGCCAATCAATGCTTTCCAGAGGAAAGCATTGGGAGGCTATTGCGCATGCGCGGAAAAACACTGCTGTGAGCCAATTAGCATCACCTCATGGAGATGAATTGAATCAATGCATCTCTATGAGGAGCGTTTATAGGATGGAGACACTGAATGTCAGTGCTTCACACATTAATAAGCCTGCAGGGACAGGCTGTAGACACCAGAAAAAATAATTTAAACTGTAGTTGTTCTGGTGACTATAGTGTCCCTTTAAGGACTGGATGCAGTAGTTTAATATTTGGAGCAAAAGGATTTAAATAAAAATCAAACAAGTAAGCAACCTAATCACTGAATCTGAAACTTAGAGATACACATCACGTATCATCCGCTGTCTCCAGCATTCTAAACATTGACTATTTTCTAAAGAGTTAAATCTAGTCGCACCTATTATTCTCTAAGCTGCTTTACAGATGTGGGAAGGTAGATCCTTCTCTAAAGTTCATTCCAATGTCATTATCAAGTATAGAAGAACCAGTAACTGCATGAATCCTCCCTGTCTAAATTATAGGTTAGGATGAACAAACAAAAGGAAAGAAAAAAGTGCTCATTGTTTTGTATCAACAGTATCCAAGTAAGAATAAAAAATAATGAAAAAAAAAAAAAAAGAAAACAATATCCCCGATCAATCTATTATTGGCATCTATTTTAGTCTTGGCATGAGATTAGTGAATATTAATCAGGTTTTGAAAGGTGACACCCATTAGAAAGTATTTATAAGGAGAGTAGTTGGTGGGAGAGAATATGTTACTGCTTATTTCAGAACAGGCTGTGTTACTCTCTCAGTTACTCACTTAGGAGCCGTTGCTGCTTTTGAAGATGACTTCTTATTATTCATCATCCCAAAAGGGAACAAGCGGATCTGTAGCTGGTGGAAGATCAGGGGGGAACAGGAGCTCAGTCTCCTTTGCAAGTTATGGTGGAGTTGGTGGCAATGCAGGGTTCTGCCAAAATGGAGAATATGGTGGTGGCTTCGGTAGCAATGTAGGTGGTGGATATGGTGGGGGCTACAACATGGCTTTTGGTGGTGGTGCAGGATCTGGTTTTGGTGGAGGAGCAGGTGGTGGATTTGGTGGTGGAGCTGGATTTGGTGGTGGAGCTGGCTTTGGTGGTGGAGCTGGCTTTGGTGGAGCTAGTGGAGGTGGCTATGGCTTTGGTCAAGGTGGAGCTTTTGGCGATGCTGGGGGTCTCCTTTCTGGCAATGAAAAGAACACCATGCAGAACCTAAATGATCGTTTGGCCAATTACTTGGACAAAGTGAGGGAGTTGGAGAATGATAATGCTGAGCTAGAGAAGAAGATACGTGAATGGTATGAAAAGCAGAGTCCAGTTAGTAAGGAAGCTGACTACAGTCAATATTTCAAGATTATTGAAGACCTCAGAGCCCAGGCAAGTTGAAGAATGATTATAAATCAATGATTTTTGAACCTTAAGCCCAATCCTTAGACAATCATCTTTTATTATTCAAAGCTTAAATTTCCATAACACTTTATTTAACATAAAAGCATTTTTTATATTTCAGTGTACAGGGTAACTGTTATATTTTGTGTTTATGCAATGAACATCCATAGCTTCTCTATGGCCACTAGCTATCTGTCAAAGCTTTAAAACAATTAATCTCAAAATTATCCCAATGCAGCTGCAATAGAAATTCTTTTTGCATTATTCCAATGGAACTGATTAGGAACATTTCTGAATGGAATAATAAATTATTAGGGGTAAATTAGGACTGGAAATCACTGCCTTAACAACTGTGTAGTCAGGTAATAGGGAATTAAAGAGAATCTTATGTTTCAAAGCTATTGCCTTTACTTTATCCATAGCAAAACAAGTCTACCAATAGCTTAAAAATAAGTACAAATTATTCAATATTTTCTACAATATTAAATTCATGAATTATTTTATACAAGTATGAGTTGATATTATAAGTGATATGGGAGGGATTCTTGCCAAAACTAATGGACTGATGATGATGATGATGATGATAATCATGATGGTGAGGTCTTCTTCTCACTGTTGATCATGTGATACCTCATTTTAGATACTTGCTGCCCATATTGACAATAGCAAAGTGGTTCTGGCCATTGATAATACAAGATTGACCACAGATGACTTCAGACTCAAGTAAGTACCCATGTTATTATTGTCAGTTTCTCTTATGCAAGATATATACTGAGTATGAACCTTCAACATCCTAGCTGCTCTGGACTAGGACTTCCCCAATCTCCTGTCTGGAAAATAATTTACCATAGAAGCTGAATGCAAGATGTTCCTCTAGTGCACTGTACTGATTACTGTTTAAACCTGCCTGCAGACCTACTACCATAAATCCCATGATGCCTAGAGCTATGGATCGTGGGTTGTTCTTCTGAATTATTGTTCAATATCTTGCAAAGGATCATGGGAGTGGTCATTTAAAGAAATACTATGTATTTGTGTCCTATATATATGAGTATAAACTAAATAATCCACATCATCTCTTTGGCCACTGGTTATCTATCAAAGCTTGAGAACAACGATTCTCAAAAAGTTCAAAATGTAGCTGCAACTAAAAGAGTTTTAGCAATACCCCCCTATTTAGTTTAGTTAAAAGTCACATTATAATTAAAATTGAAAGAAATAAGAGAAGTGATAGCTCTTTCACTAATATGCTAATTATATAGGTTTAGTGATAGCAGTTGAATATTATATATACTACAGAGAGATAATACGAGATAAGAGAACTTCAAATATTAGAATTCACAGATTTATGGAAGCTGTACATATTTGCCAAGTTCCAAGTAAAATCAGCGGGTTTTAAATGATGACTTGCAAATATATACACATACGTTACATTTATTTAAAAGTCTAAGAGGTATGCAGGCTGTACACTTGAAAAGAACCATCATATTAATGTATACACAAGGGTGATAAGGAGTAGACCAACAGATCTAAGGCAATAGATTTGAGGCTTAGCAAACACACTGTACATTTATTATTATAGTCAGCACTGAGAATTTAATATCAGATGGGAGAACAGTGTAAAGACTTACTAACAATGTAAAGGTCCATAGATCAACCATCCATTCATTACATATATTTATTTAAGAGTATGCGTGTGTAGACATAGATAGATAAAGACACAAACATTGAGATTTTTTGTATTTTTTATCTACATGTGTACACATCTAAAAACAAAATACAATGTATGGACTAGAGGTAATAACAGGGAGCTTTAGAGAAATATGGGTGGAATTCACTTCCATTTGGTTAGTCTACACCAAACTTTGATATGGCTGTTTTTCTGTTAGTTAGTTGTTTTTTTTTCTATTTTTTTTATTTAAATTTTTAATAAAGGAATAACAAAATAAACATAAAAAGGCATTTGTTCTGGACTTCAGTAATGTTTTATTTGGGTAGTATTAAGGTTCAGTGGAAAGATACATGTGTGTATCAATCTCTTGGTAGAACGAGAGATGGAGAAGGCTAAGTGATAAGTCATAAGGATTTAAATCTCAAGTTAAATCTCAAAACCTTATCACGAGCCCCAAATCAGGCCATATACATGTAGCCCCTGACTATTAGATTTTTCGTATTTTCAATCTTACAACGTTATGTACATGTATGTCGTTTTTAAAATATCAGTTTTGCACTGAAAAGCTAATAACTAATAAACGTTAGGATTTGTCTGAGCTTTTCGGTAGCCTGTACTCTCCAAGTATAGGAAACTTACAATATTCCAAATATGTTTTAATTCTAATTAAAACTATCCTCTGAAAATATACTACTATTAATAATGCTTTTTATAAATATGTGAATTTTAAAAGATATTTAATTTGGATATATCATTAGGCAGGAGTTGTTCATGTCATAATCCAATGAGCTGCATCTTATGGGACAAAGGCATCTGATACGTACCAGGACACAAATATAGGCAAAAGAAAATGTGTATTGATCAGATGTGGATTTAAACTGGTTGGCATACTTTTATATTAGATGTGGCATACTACAGCCCCCTCCCCCAGAATGATGGCAGTCAAGCATGCAGAATCTGATAGTATATAATGTACATAGACAAGAAGAATTCTTGGCTGGACATTATTTGATTTCTTGAGTTGTACTCACATTTATTTTCTTATGGCTAAGGTATGAGAATGAGTTGGCTCTTCGGCAAAGCGTGGAGGCTGATATCAATGGCCTGCGCAGGTTCCTGGATGAACTGACCATGGCTAAGTCTGATCTTGAATCTCAGGTTGAGAGCCTGGTTGAGGAACTGGCTTACCTTAAGAAGAACCACGAGGAGGTAAGCAGAATAGCTTTTTATAGCTAACGTTTTCTACACTTTCAATGTAATCTTGCACACAAATCGATGGTCAGTGCAGCTGAAGTCATAGAAAAAGTACGTAAGGACAACAAAAACATGAATAAGTAATTCAGCTTTTCTTTTCTCTCAACATTTGTACAATAACTTTTTTAAATTTCCACCTTTTGACTTGTTCCAGTACAGTGGAGAGATGTGTTCACCAGAATGTGAAACACCAAACACAATAGATTTACTAAAGATTGCTAAGTTGCATATGAAAAATTAGTATCTTAATAATTGGTATTCAGCTAAAGTCGTTATTCTCTCTTGCAGGAGATGAAGGGAATGCAAGGCCAAGTCAGTGGCACTGTCAACGTTGAGATGAATGCTGCCCCAGGAGTAGATCTGACTAAAATCTTAAATGATATGAGAAGCGATTATGAAAGATTGGCAGACAAATACCGCCAGGAAGCTGAAGAACGATTCCAGATGACGGTGAGTTCTTGGGAACCATTAGCATTCAATGTTGTCAACTTCCATTCACTAATTTATAACCTGCAGCATTGGTCAAAGTAGGTCGGGATAGAAGAAACAGAATTTCCAGTAATACTAAAGCAGAACATGGAAATCAGCTTTAACAATGTAAACTCACACTGTTTGGGAATGTTTCTCATTTTAAAAGATAGTCCTGGTGAGAACAAATGGGTCATTTGAAGGAGCTGACTTTGAATAACCATAGGTTCTAGAAAAACAATAGATCCACATTGATTGCGTTTGCACTGGAGTACAGAGGTTATTATGTGAGTGACGTATTTATAAAAGCTATAAATAAAGATTTTTATCCCCCCGACCAGGCACAGCAAACCCTGATATCGTTATATATTACCATAATTTTAATAGTAATTATAATGTTCATGAGCGGACAAGTAAAGAAAGGATAAATATCAGTTCATTATCCTGGAATGCATTGATATTTTTAATTAGTACAAGAGAGAGTTTGCCTGCCATTAGCAATTCTTTGATGTTTCAAAATCATGTAATTGTAATCGCTTCTAATCACTTTGCTCCTGTAAGGGGTTATATTAATCCTTTAATGGCAAGAACTGTTCCCACCTCTCTCTCTCACATATTTCATATTTTGTTTTGTTATTTCAGGCCAAGGAACTGCAACAGCAAGTTGTCACCAGTAGTCAAGAAGTCCAGACTTCCAAATCAGAGATCTCAACCCTCAGACAATCACTTCAAAGTTTGGAGATAGAACTTCAGTCTCAACTTAGCATGGTATGAACAACTAATCATCTAACACCCCACCTGACAGTTCAATAATGAATGCTCTTGATATTTTTGAAGCCACTGGTTAGATAATCTATTAGTAATAATAATAGAATCTTTACTTTGTTGTAAAAAACATACTATTATAATAAGTAATTCTAGTTGAGCAACATAACATAAAATATAATCTGTTTTTCAAATCTATTTCCTTAATTACTTTTTGTATTTTAACCTCTATTGTAACATCTATATCATGCCCTCCTCTGACTCAATCTCAATGTTCTTGTCTGCAAAACATTTGATTCTTTGGTAACTGGTTAGTTTACTTTCTGATCTATATTTTAAAAATTTCTACTTAAAGACACTGTTGGTCATGCCACAACATTAAGTATTGTTAAGTATTGAAGTTTACGTGAGACCTTTTGTTAGCAATTTTTCTCTGTAAATTGCAGAAATCAGCTTTAGAGTCCACCTTGGCAGAAACAGAAGGACGGTATTGTGCACAGTTGTCTCAGCTCCAGGACGTTATCTTAAAGGTCCAATCTGAGATTTCAGATCTCCGTAATCAGATGGAACAACAGAGTAATGAGTACAAATTACTTCTGGACATCAAAACCCGTTTGGAGCAGGAAATCTCCAAGTACAGAGATTTACTTGATGGACAGGACTCTAAGTATGTTCACCCTAAATGGAAAATATTTAAATGTTCCTTATTAAAAAAGGAGAACTTTATATGAATTAGCTATGACCATTTTCACACAGCTATGTAACAAATATTACTGATGTAAGAAATATTTTTCAAATACAAGGAATGTAGATACAGATCATGAACCAAACTTGAAGTTTAGTTCTTCTCGAGGTGGGTTATATGTTAGCTTTATTAATTAGAAATGTTCTCCTGTGATCATTTAATTATGAGGCCATTTAGGCTGTGGCTACCCTATGTAGCAGAACAAAGGGATCTGATGTTGAATTTAGAAGAAGTATCAGGGTTGAATATATGTCTTCTGTATGCTAATCCTCTAATATAATGGATAAGCATATTATTCTGGATATTTGACTTAGCCTAAAGAAACCATTAGTATCTGCTCATCTTTAATGGGATGCGATGCTAGGATACATGGGTGGGAATCCAATATATATTATTGGGTATTGGCTATAGTTTTATCAAAATAGTTGCATACATACATACACACACAGAAAAAGGAATCAGTGCTCACAAGTCAATATTAGGAGACCAGTCAGAACTTGGCTTAATACTCTGTAATTCCACAATACCGTTTTTATATACTCTTTACCCTTTTTATTCAGGATGTCAACAGGTGGAAGCTCATCCAGCAGTACTACCATTTCATCTTCTTCTACTACGACTTCAAGTAAGTGTACCTCCATTCTCGTACTACTGTCTTTCTCCAGATGACACTGGAAGTACTGTGCCTCTCTACAACCTTGTACATCACCACAACTCATGATACACCTGCACCTGATATAGTTCTGTTGCAATCCTGCACATCCTATACAAATAACTAAACACACCCCTAATCTAAACGTTATTAGCTCACCCCCTTAAATATGAATTCCAAGTTCTATTGAGGCTTCCTGTTAACCCTTGACTCAGGATCCAACTACTTCATAGTATACAATCAACCACCTCACTTTTCAGTTTTATTTTGTTTTTACAAACGTTTGAAGACCCACCTAAACCGAAATGCAATCATTGAGCATCCACAGTCCAGTCCTATTTCTAACTTCATCGTTTTCTATATAAGATGTAAAGTATAGACTATATTAAGTGTAGTATGCATGGTATAAACAGTAGCAGTGGAGCATTTGTCTTGAGAATATATTTAATTATATTCACTTTTAATAGAATAAAAAAAAATGCTACATTCATAAAATAATATGTAAACACTACAATAATAATATAATGTTTAATTTAAAATATTTTATATAAAGCTATTAATATTTAAATTGCTCATTTTTTTTCAACAGGCACTAACAAGGTGCGCTAGTTTCCAGAATTCCATTTTGGGACAAACCTCGGTGTAACACAGCCTGTTCAACTCTACTGATGCTTCTCATCTTATTTGTGTGCTTTTTCAAGATTTATGATACATTGGAATGTGGTGTTTTTTTCTTGCTAATTGTTGAATAAATCTTTTATCTATTGCAATGTGAATTCCTGTTTAAGATATTTTATTTTAATTTTTTGTGTGAAATAACGCCAGTTTACGGAGGTCTTGATGCCTGTGTATTAGGAGAAAGTGATAGGTATGGGTCCCGATATCGATTATTAGAAAGAAGTGAGAGGTTTCCTACTATCTGTGGTACTAGGAGGAGTTGTCATCACCTCTCTGTACTAGAAGGTGACTGATCTCTTTGTGGAGATGAGAGGTGTGTGTTTTGATACATGGACACTGGTGAAGTTAGTGAATAATCCCATTAGTTTTTTTATTATCATTATTGGCATTTGTATAGCGCAAACTAGTTCCGTACAGCTTTACAATATTATAGGAGTGGGAGATTTACATTTAACAAAAAATTTACAGGAACAATAGGATGAAGAGGACCCTGCTCAAACAAACTTACAGTCCAGAGGTGTTAATAATAATTATCTTTATTATTTAAAATGTGTCAACCTATCTGAAATGTGTTAAAAAGACACTTTAGGCATCAAAACAGCTTTAGCTTAATGAAGCAGTTTTGGTGTATAGATCATGCCCCTGCAGTCTAATCACTCAATTCTCTTCCATTTAGGAGTTAAATCACTTTGTTTATACAGCCCTAGTCACACCTCCTTACATGTGCCTTGCATAGCCTTCCTAAACACTTCCTGTAAAGTTGCATCTAATGTTTAAGTTCCCTTTTTTGTACAGTCAGTTTTTAGAATTTGCTTTCTCCTGCTCTGTTAATAGCCTTATTAAGCCTACAGGAGCCTCCTGTGTGTGATTAAAGTTCAGTTTACAGAGCAGGAGATAAAAACTTCTAAAGCAAATTAAGATCTGATTGAAATGAAACCCATATGAATTAATAGTCAAATTATCCTTAATGTCAAACAATCCAAAACCACTACACAATAGTAAATATTTATTTATTTTTTGAAATGCCAATTCTGAATTGCCAATATTAGTTTATTATATAAATTGATAATAAAAGTAGAACTGAGAGAAATTTTTATAATGATTTTTAAAATGATTAGTTGCAATCGTTTGATTTTTGCATCTCATGTATTAATGAAAAATAGAGAGCTGGAATTTTTAAAGTTGAAAATAGGGGATTTATCCCAAAATTAAAAGAAAAAAATCAGTGGGCAATTGACCATCTACTCTCCCCTTCCACCCTGACAAGTACAAAGCTTTCTCACACATCCAGTCAGTAGTGTCAGTGGCCGTCCTTCAGTTAAAAAACAAATAACAAACAAACAAAAAAAACTGGGCCCTAGGGGCAGCAGGAATAATTTAATTGCAAAAAATAGGGATTTTTATAAACAATATTAAAGGATGGAATGGATGAGTAAGTCGTGAATTGCCCACTCACTTTTTTGCTTAATTTTTATTAAAATCCCCAAGCAGCTTCTTCCAATTGCGTTAGCAGAGGTAACAGGTACCGCAAGACTCAGTCAGGCAGTGCAAAACCATGAAATGCATCTGAAAAAATGGGGAGCAGCAGCACAAGTAAATTATTTATTTATATTTTTTTAAAGGTGAGTGTATGAAGGGAGGACCCACCACCAACTGTTAGAAGACTTTTTTTTTGCAAAGAGTTAAAAATAAATACCTGCCACATTCAGTGTATTCAATGTGTTCACTGGATTCATCAACACCAACCTCCATCAGCACCAGACATTGGAGACACTACTTTAGTCCTCACCAAAGAGTGGTTTTGATGACCCCCACAAAGTAGACTCTGCTGTGCTCTCCCTTAGTTGCTTCTTAGTGGGGTACCAAGAAAGTTTAAGGATTGAACTAGCTATAGTAGAAAGACCTGCAGTGCCAGTGGATTGGCAGCCCAAGTTCTTGGAATAAAAACAATTGCCTCTGAGATGTGGAAAGTAAAGAACATGTTGCTAATCACATTATCCTGAAGCGTGGTGGAGGCAGCAGTTGAGGAGGTGTCAACAGTCTTCATGGTCGAGGAAAAGTTGTTCCAACTCTCAAAAGCCATGGCAATACTGCTGACTGTGGAATGGGGAACAACTTTAGTGAGCAAAAATAGATGTTTGTGATGCAAAATGGGTTAGGGCTTGGTGAATTTACTGCTGTGCTGTTATTGATGTTATTGAATTTAACGTCAAGAGATACTGCCAGGTTTTTTTTTGAGCCTGATCGACATTTTTAGACAATCTGGCACCTCTCTTTATTATCCTTAATTTATATTTTGGGTTATACCCCAAAGTTTACCCACCCCTCTGCCATATTCTTATTAATGTACTTCACATTTTTATTACCAGCGTTGGCATCTACCATGCTCTTTTTTTAATTTCCCTCCCTCTCCCTTATCCCTCCAATGGATTACCTAGACACCACAGAATATTTCTGAGGCCTTGACTATGTCTATCAAGTGGCATTGTCTGCGGCTCCATCTTGCTACACCCCAAATTACTATAGGTGTCTAAAGCCATATTTACCTAATTTTATCTAATAAATAGGTATTTTTCCCTCCTGTTTGTGCCCATGGGGGTTTTCAGGTATTTTCATTTGTTTTTATGTCATTTGAAAAACAGTCACATGACCTATGACATCATGCAACCATTATTTTCAATTTTTAATGTACACAGGTATATAATCACTGAAGGTCCATCTATCTGAAAACATTTGAAAAAACCCTATTATTGGGAGAAACACATTGTCTCTTATTTTTATTACTATTTCTTTAATAAAGTTTACACTTAATCATAATCTCTGGACCTTCCTATAGCCCTGACGCTGGGACATCAGTTTTCTTGGTGGGGAACATACCACCCATGCCTTTAGATTGAGCAAAACTATTTTTTACTCAAAACCAAGTTATTATGTCTCTTGTTAGTTTATCTTATTTTAATAACATAGCGTACTCTGTATTTTATCTTATGTTTTTTATACCACGGTGAATATTTTAAACCTATCTACATTCGAGAGAGAGGATTACATATGTATCCCAGAGTGGGGATCATTCCACTCCAAGTCATATGCAAAGAGCCACTAGGAAGCTCCTCTAAGTGTGAGTTTGTATTTATTTATATTTTTTACACTGCTTCAAATATCTGATATACTGCACTATATGAGTGTTTCTGCTTACTTTACATATTGAAACCACACCGTATTGGATCAAGACTACAGACCTACATCTATAGTCGTGGATTGTACCGAGCAAGCACTACATCTGGAGCTGGTTTATAGCTCTAAACACTGTAAGTATAATTTTTCCTTTTTTCCACACTAGAAGTATTAACTTACTACACTGTATTTGGGCCTGATGACCTCATCAAGGTGCTGTTTCCAAATTATATTATCTCTATATTCCAAGCTAATCCTAACCTTAGCGAACACTAACAAATAATAACCCTACCTAACCTTAACCCTAACGCTACTTAACACTAATACTAACAATGTACTGCTTAGTTGATTGCCCCCCAGGCCTAGTGATCCCTGCGAGTGCCAATCCCTCTTGTCCCATTTCTTTAGTTTATAGCAAGTGATTTCCATGATTGGCACTCACAGTGATCAGGAAGCCTGGGGGCCAATCAATGTCTATTGCTGAACTAACTAACTAGTCTGACAGCCAGAAATAGACCATTAACAGCTGATCTAAGCATACAATGATTTAGCTAGGGATCAGCAGTCCATTCATTAAATAGGACTCTTTTCAAGCAAATATTGGATACCTTTGTGAGTGAGGCATCCAGTAACAGCCAAGAACACAATGCAATTCTGTTGATCATTGAGTATAGTATTCGTAATGGCGGGCCATAGGCTGGCTCATGTTGATGGGAATAGTGACAGCAAGTTATAACTGTTCCTGCAATCTCTTATCTTGGGAGACCTCCACATTGCTATTTCTAATGTATCACACTAGTGCAACATCATAGAAATAGCTTGCTGACTTTGCCAAGACTAACTTTCTGACATCACTTTAAATGGACACCGTACATGGAATACAGCAGCGTAACAAAGTGCATGGGTTGAGGAGCAAAACTCTGCAGCCATCCTGAAAGGGTTAATGCAAACTTGCTTACTGTAGGAGAGTAAAAGACCTGTCACTCCCAGAATCCTTGCAGTTATTTGTTGAGACCGGATGCTTGCCCAGAAAGCTAGGGTAGTCAGTTTAAAAGGACTCTCCAGTGCCAGGAAAACATATTTGTTTTCCTGGCACTGCAGGACCTGCAGTGCCCCTCTCACTCCCACCCTCATCCCAAGTTGCTGAAGGGGTTAAAACCCCTTCAGAGACTTACTGAAGTCCAGCGCCGATCTCTCCCTGCGCTGGGTATGGCTCCGCCTACTCTCCTTCCCCACCGACGTCAGCTGGCAGGGGAAACCTAAAGGGCATGCGCGGCAATGGCCGCACACGCGCATTAAACCTCCCCATAGGAAAGCATTATTCAATGCCTTCCTATAGGGATTTTGGCGATGCTGGGGGTCCTCACGTAGCGTGAGAACGTCGAGCGTCGCTTAAAACACTTTTTGTGTTCTAAGAACACGGAAGTCCCTCTAGTGTCTGTCTATCAGGACTTAACCCTGCAAGGTAATTATTGCAGTTTATAAAAACTGCATTAATTACACTTGCAGGGTTAAGGGTAGTGGGAGTTGGCACCCAGACCACTCCAACGAGCCTGGAGTGTCCCTTTAAGTACCCTTTAACTTTGAGGTCTACTCAGGGTAAACTCACCACAGTATAGGTGATTATAAGTTTGTTAGTCTGAGAATAAATTCATTTAATCTGTTTGTATACGATGTCCTCTAGTGGCTTATTCCAGTAATTATTATGCTGAGTGTGAGAACTCTCTGTATGTAGACAATGAGAGAATACAGTAAAAAAAAATCTCACAATAAAGCCAAAAAAGGCATTTAGCTACCCACACACCACTGTAAGACTTCATGATTGAATCTGCCGGAAGGTGCACTCATAAGTTTGCTTGTTTTTTTGTTTTTTTTTAAACGTATTCATAATTTTTTCCACCACTTGAGATTACTGAACACGTTG